ATTTTTAAGCCGTCGCCTGGGAAGATGGGGCATCGTTTTGGTTTCCCGGCTCTGCCCAAGCGCCTTCAAGCAGGCCTGAACCCAGGGGGAAAGGAGTCCACCTCTGTTGCCCATCCAGAAATCCTAGAACTACGTTAACGTAAGAACATAAGAGAAGCCAGTGTTGGATCAGGCCAATGGCCCATCCAGTCCAACACTCTGTCACACAGTGGGCAAAAATACTGGACGCCATCAGGAGGTCCAGCAGTGGGACCGGGACACTAGAAGCCCTCCCACTGTTGCCCCCCCAAAGCACCAAGAATACAGTACATCACTTGATGGAACATCACTTGACGTTACATTAGAGAGTCCCACTGCCGGCAAGCCACAGAGATAAAGCGGCCCATTCTCCCGGGAAAGCAGATTGGGTGTCGTAACAGGTCTCGGCGACGCATCACTCACCTGGGCTGGAGCGCTGTCGGTGCGGCAGCAAACGGGCTAGGCCCCGGGGCTCCCTGAAAGCCAGGGTTGGGGAGAGCTCCGCTCTTGGGCGCACAGTGCCTCCTTGGAGACCGTAGCCCCGTTTTGCAGAGAAGCAGCAGCCGGCTGCTGGCACTCCATGCATATTTGATGATGGCTATTATTCCCAGCCGCAGGCGTGAACGGAGGGGGCCGAGCTACCACTACAGGGGGAGGGGGGCAGGAAAAATCAGTGATACTGGGACAATTTAAGAAGAGCGCTATGTCTGTGCCTGGAGTTCCGGGTCATGACTGGAAAAAGGGCACTCCTACAGTGACAAAGAATCACAGGATGCAAGAGTTACATCCCCTGTGTGTCCCTGTATGAGTCCCTGATCAGGACGGTTGGTCTCTGGAGTTCTACTGCACTCGAATCTAATGGTTTTATTCCAGACTGTCACAGTGACTCTCTGAAACGGATCAGGATGTCGCTCCCTCTTGGAAGGCCAATCCAGAGCAGTGACTCATGCAGAGAGGCAGCAGGGAGACTGCTTTCAGGGGGCCCTCTGCCGTAGGAGCAATTGTGGAATCACACTGGGAAGCGGAGCTAAGATGGACAGCAAGGAGGCAAGGGACTCTGGCAGAGATGCAACAGGCAGACTCTTCCCCTGAATGGTAATTTGGGTGTACAGGCAGCACATGTTTGAGTCAGTCGTTCCTTGTGGCATATGGGGAGACTGATGGGCCCCCGGACTGAGAATTATTGGTTCAGGAAAACCCTGCCCTTGGCCAGATGAGAGGGGTTTATGCAAAGTTTTTCCTGGGTTGAAACAAGAATGATTTCAGCAAACTAATTTATGCAAGTAGCCAAGTCACTCGCTCACAAAGTAGAATTTTTGCTCACAGAACTCCACAGCTTAGAGGGAGCATTTGGGGGGGGGCATTAATATCTGGGAGACCCGGGTCCGAGTGCCCCGCTCTGCCACAGAAGCTTGCGGGGTGACCTTGAGCCAGTTACGCTCTCAGCCTGACCTACCTCACAGGGCTGCTGTGAGAAGAACAATGTTATTATTATTTTAATTTTACTAATAAATGCAGTTTCTAGACTGCCCTCCCCTGTGGAACGGGGCTCGGGGCGGCTTGCATCAATAAAAACATGCATACAGTCAGGGCTATTTTTGGGCAGGAACGCACAGGAACGGAGTTCCGGCTGACTCCCGAGTTGGCCACGCCCAGCAGGAACTCATTAGCATAATAGGCCACACCCAACAGCAGAAACTCATTAGGATTGGCTACATTAGGAGTGTGTGGCCTAACATGCAAAGGAGTCCCTGCTACAAAAAAAGCCCTGGGTTTGGACCACAAACAAGGTAAACAGAATAAGAAGCAAAAGGTGGGTGTGGCTGGATGACCACACTTCTGGTAACATGGGGGTGCGGCCTAATGTGCTAATGAGCTGTGCTGTCGTGGGTGTGACCTAATATGCTAATGAGTTTCTGCTGTTGGGTGTGGCTATTATGCTAATGAGTTCCTGCTGGGCTTTTTCTACAAAAAGAGCCCTGCATACAGTAGATTCATGGTTAAAACAATGGAAATACAATAATCAATCTAATTAGGTGGTGCTAGGACTTCCAACTGCGCCACTACCTCACAGGGGAGGGGAAGAAGGGAAGAGACAGGAGATCCTTCAGGGGACAGAGATCCAGGAAGGGTGCCAGCCATGATGGAAACCGGCGCTGTCCTCCACCAAACGCCTGGCGGAACGTGTCTGCCTTACGGGCCCCGCGGAACTGCATTTAAGTCCCGCAGGGCATGGATGTTACTCGACAGAGAGTTCCAAAAAGCCCTGGCCCGAGGACAGATGGATGTCTCTCGGGCTGGGGACCACCAGTAGGTTCTTATCTGAACCTGATCCGGTACTCCACCCGGACCTAGTGCAGCTCCTGCAGCACAGGCTGAATATGTGCTGTTCGCAGGTTCCCCGTAAGGACCCTTGCTGCCGCATTCTGGGCCAGTCGGGAGTTTCCGGGTCAGTCCCAAGGGTAGCCCTACGTTGAGTGAGTTACAGTAGTCTAATCTGGAGGTTGCATGGATTACTGTGGCTACGTTAGTGTGGGACAGGTAGGGAGACAGTCGCCTGACCCGGAGCAGCCGTAAAAACGCCGGTCTGGAAACATTTGTGATCCGGGCCTCCATATGTTGTAAGCCGCTTTGGGTTCCAACGGCGGAGGTGAAAAGCGGGGTACAGATATATGAACTAAACCGAATGTGTCACGTTTGTGCGTTAAGGTGGGAGTGAAGCCACTGCTCAGCAGGGGGTGATCAGAACAGATTTGAGAAGCCCCCCTGAGCAGGCAGCGGCAAAGCTCAAGAAGCAAGAGGCCAAACTCTCTTTCACTAGGACGAGCCAAAACGAGAGAAAAGCGCATACGCCTTCATGCTCTCCGGAACTCTTTACGGTGTGCGTGTAAAGCGCTGTCACGACTCGCAGCCAACTCGTGATGACCTCATAGGGTTTTCAAAGCAAGAGACCAACAGGCAGTTTGCCGTTGCCTGCCTCTGCGTGGCAACCCCAGACCTTCCTTGGGGGTCTCCCCTCCAAATACTAACCAGGGCCGTCCCTGCTTAGCTTCTGCGATCTGATGAGATCGGGCTCGCCTGGGCCATCCGGGTCAGGGCAAGAGACGAACAGAGGTGGTTCACCATTGCCTGCCTCTGCGTAGCAACCCTGGACTTCCTTAGGGGGTCTCCCAGCAAAATATTAACCGGGGACAACCCTGCTTAGCTTCCAAGATCTAATGAAACAGCTAGCCTGGGCCATCCAGGTCAGGGCAAGAGACAAACAGAGGTGGTTCACCATTGCCTGCCTCTGCGTAGCAACCCTGGACTTCCTTAGGGGGTCTCCCAGCAAAATATTAACCGGGGACAACCCTGCTTAGCTTCCAAGATCTAATGAAACAGCTAGCCTGGGCCATCCAGGTCAGGGCAAGAGACAAACAGAGTGGAGGGCCACATATGACTTTTTCATTGTTCCCCAAGACCAACTTCTGTGTTTCATTCCTGATCGACAGGAAAGCAGAGGGGAAAGAAAGGTTATTACAAGAAGAAACCAAGGCAGGGAAAGGGCATCCTCTCACCATACAAGAACGCGTGGGCACTGAGCGGTCGGGTTAGAACGGATAAAAGGAAGTCCTTCTTCACCCAAAGAGGGATTAACACGTGGAATTCACTGCCACAGGAGGTGGTGGCAGCTACAAGCATGGACAGCTTCAAGAGGGGATTGGATAAGCATATGGAGCAGAGGTCCATCAGTGGCTATTAGCCATAAGGTATAGAGAGGAACTCACAGGCTGGGGCAAGGGATGCTCTGTCTTCTTGGTGCTTGGGGGGGGGCAATAGTGGGAGGGCTCCTAGTGTCCTGGCCCCACTGCTGGACCTCCTGATGGCACCTGGTATTTCTGGCCACTGTGTGACAGAGTGTTGGACTGGATGGACCATTGGCCTGATCCAGCATTGGCTTCTCTTATGTTCTTAATATGGAGCAGAGGTCCATCAGTGGCTATTAGCCATAAGGTATAGAGAGGAACTCACAGGCTGGGGCAAGGGATGCTCTGTCTTCTTGGTGCTTGGGGGGGGAGGGCAACAGTGGGAGGGCTCCTAGTGTCCTGGCCTCACTGCTGGACCTCCTGAGGGCACCTGGTATTTTTGGCCGCTGCGTGACAGAGTGTTGGACTGGATGGGCCACTGGCCTGATCCAACACTGGCTTCTCTTATGTTTCTTATGTTCACAAACGAAAGTTTTAAAGCGAGAGGGATTCTTGCCAGGGGAAGGAAGGCACAGAGCAACTGCCCAAAATCTCAGGCCACCGATCAACGAACAATAATTCCCTGCATAGTACAGGGATCTCCAACATGGCGTCCGCCAAGCTTTTCAGAAAGTGGGGGGAGCCTCTGTAAGGCAGGGCTAGGTATTGGCTCCCCTCATTCAAGCAAAAGGGTTTCCTGCGGCTGCAAAGCGAGGAGGGAGGTGTCACGTTTGTCTCCGTCTCCTGTGCGTAGCCATTTTAGTATCTGGCTCAAAACGTCTGCAGCAGCCAGGGCCGGCTCACCCACTAGGCGAGCTAGGCATTCGCCTAGAGCGCTGGGCCTTGGATGGGGCGCTGAGCTGTGCCTCCCCCCCACCCTCTTCTTTTTCTTCTTCCCTCGCTCCCCGAGGAGGAGGCCAGGGGCCACAGGGGCAGAGGAGCGGGTCCCGCCGCAGGCTTGGCTGAAGAGAGGCACGCCTCCCTCCCTCCTCCCCCCCTTCAGTGGTAGTGGCGGCGGGGGGAGGGGGTGGTGGGGGCAGCAGCAAAAGTGTGGCTGGCTCCAGAGGTCTCCAGGTTTCCAGGCCCCACCGGGAGGTTGGCATCTGCGCCATAAGGCAGCCTCGCCTAGGGCGCAGAAATACCTCGAACCGGCCCTGGCAGCAGCCATTTTGGGGTAGCGCTCTCCACTCCCCTCTCAACATTTCATTGGTACTTGGCAGGCGCAAAAAAGTTGGCGACCCCTGGCTTAGTGGCTAGAACTCTCTAGAGAGAAAGCAGAAACCGTTTCTTTATTTCAGCCGACAGGTACATGGTTTTTGTGGGGTCCGGGGCCCGTGGTCACATTCTGGGATCGAGCCACGACAGCTGTCCGGGGGGGGGAGCGTTTCAGTCGCTGTTCTGCAAAATACACGTTGTGGGGTGGCGGAGGGAAGGCCTCGCTTCCCTAACCCCCACCCCGGGAAGTTGTTGACCTCTGAAGTAGAACACGGAAGAGAAGCAACTCCCATCGGCCGCCTCGTGGGCTGTCCCAGAGTCCTCCGGTTTTATCGCAACTGATTCTGAGGACATGCTTTGTCCATCCAGGGAAGTGGGGTACAGAAGTACTGCGTTTCTGATCCAGGAAGAAGATAATGCATTGCTCATCCCAGCTGGGGGTTGACCGAGAAGGAAGGAGAGACTCAGTCCCTAAATCCAAGGCAAATTCTTCGGGCGACCTCGGACCGGGTAGCTGATCAATCCAAAATTGACCCCCCCGTAGAGGGCTTCGAAGGCACCCAGGAGCATGCCAGGGCAGCGATGCTCAAACAAGAATCCATGCGCCAGCCGCCACCATATCCACGGTCTCTTCCTACCCCCATGCAAGCTTCGGGAAAGCGGTAGGAAAAGCCCGCGCACCCTCCGCCCTGACTCTTTTTGGCTTTTGCACAGGTCGCTGTTGAGTCGTGCCGGAGCGCCGCAGGGCAGGCCGAGGCACCGGCGGATCAGTGGCACGGCAGGGCGGGGCGGGGGGTTTACTTCTTGACTATCTGGATCACATCTTCGTGCTCCATCAGGTGGTTGAGTCCGACTCGCTGGGGGCTGTACTTGGTGCTAGTACCCTGGAAGAGCAAGAGAGGATTTTAGCGAGTCCCCTTTTTTGAAATGGGGGACTCACTCAGGCAAGAAGACGTGTGGCTTGCCTTGGATCAGGGGTGGCAGACTTGCTCAACTTAAGAGCGGCAGAGAATAAACACGAGAGCCGCAAGACAGGAACAAATATTACATGTCTTTATATGCACATTTGCTTTTTATTAACATTAAATGAGACTGCCAAAAGTAAAAGGGGAAAAAACAGAGGATGAAGAAGAAGAAGAAGAGGAGGAGGAGGAGGGGGGAGGAGGAGGAGGAAGAAGAAGTAGAAGAAGAAGAAGAGATTGGATTTATACCCCGCCCTTCACTTGGAGTCTCAGAGCGGCTTACAATCTCCTTTCCCTTCCCCTCCCCACAACAGACACCCTGTGAGGTGGGTGGGGCTGAGAGAACTCTGACACAAACTGTTCTTTCAGATAAAGCTGTGACAGAGTTTGTGACTGACCCAATGTCACATCAGCAGGTGCAAGTGGAGGAGTGGGGAGTCAAACCCGGTTCTCCCAGATTAGAGTCCGCACACTTAACCACTACACCAAACTGGCACCAAAGAAGAAGAGGAAGAGGAGGTGGAGGAGGAGACTGGATTTATACCCCACCCTTCACTCCCCAAAGGAGTCTCAGAGCAGCTTACAAACTCCTTTCCCTTCCCCTCCCCAGAACAGACACCCCGTGAGGTAGGTGGGGCTGAGAGAGCTCTGGCAGAAACTGCTCTTTTTCAAAAACAGCTCTTATCAGAACTACGGCTTGCCCAAGGTCATCCAGCAGGTGCAAGTGGAGGAGTGGGGAATCAAACCTGGTTCTCCCAGATCAGAGTCCGCACACTTAACCACTACACCAAACTAGGGAGGATTAATGCTGATTTTAACTTAAACTATTTATTGTAGGCCATCTTGGTGTAAACTGCTCTGAGCCCTACTTGTAGGGAAGGGCGCCCTAGAGCCAGTTTGGCGTTGTGGTTAAGTGCGCGGACTGTAATCTGGGAGAACCGGGTTTGATGCCCCACTCCTCCATGTGCAGCTGCTGGATGACCTTGGGTCAGGGAAAGAAGTTTGTAAGCTGCTCTGAGACTCTGAGTGAAGGGCAGGGTATAAATCCAATCTCTTCTTCTTCTTCTAGCAAATCCAATTCAAAAAAATAAAAAAATATAAAGACAAAAAAAAAAAAAACCTTACCCAAACCAGAGCGTATTTGAACTGACTGGCTAACGTCCGGTGAATTCGATGACACTGGAGGAGGAAAAAGAAAAGAAAGGGGGGTATTCGCAGCTCTTACAAGTCAGTTTCGCTTATTGCACTTCCTCGCCAGCCTTAACTCTTTCCAAAACGGATGTGTGAAGCCATGTCCCAGACTCTGGAAGCTCAAAACTTTGGAACTCCCTCCCCAGGGGAAAAGAGCAAGAGTCCAGTTGCGCCTTAAAGACTAACGAAATTTGTGGCAGGGGAGGAGCTTTCGTGAGTCACAAGACAAGTAGCCTCCGGAAAACGCGGCAACTGTCTTCCGAGTGTTTTTAAGGTAGCAGCTGGAGGAACGTCCGTCAGGGACAGCTTTGGCCTGGGAGGAGCTAATGCTGTGGTCCAGTTGGCATTATCTTTGCAGAGGGGGCAGCTTTCCCATTCCAAGACCCAAGACTTACCACATGCTCCACTGAGGCACCTTTCCGCAGAATTATGGCATCGGAGAAGTCAGGTCTCTCTGTGAGGAAGGGGGGGGGGATACATTAAGGTTAATAGGGCCTGTGACAGACGTTCGAAGAGAAGAGATTGGATATATACCCCGCCCTTCGCTATCCGGAAGAGTCTCAGAACGGCTTACAACCTCCTTTCCCTCCCCCTCCCCGCAGCAGACACCCTGTGTGGCAGGCGGGGCTGAGAGAGCTCTTTCGAAGACTGCCCTTGAGAGAACAGCTCCAAGAGAACTTGTGACTGACCCAAGGTCACACACTGGCAGCTGCATGCAGAGGAGATGGGAATCGAACCCGGTTCTCCCAGATTAGAGTCCATGCTCCTAACCACTACACCGGAGGGGGGGGGGACTTATCTCCTCTACTGCTTCCCTGTAACCACTAACCATTTCAGATTTTCAGGGGGGATCAAGTTCCCTAGAGTCCAAACTCTCGGAGGAGCTTCGAACTCTCGAACGTTCATACCCCGAAAATCCGGGCGTTCTCTAAGCTGCTACTGGACCTGAACCTAGCTGTTCCGCTGCAGACCGACGCAACTGCTGCTCCCTGAAACTGTTCTCAGTCCCGCTCTTAATCAGACGTCCCCCATTCCGAGCTCCCGACTTACGCCCTCTTTTCTTGGTGAAGATGCAGGTGAGTGCCAGGTATTCCCAAAGCATCTCCAGCAGGTAGTCCAGGTTGAGTTTCATGCCGCAGCTGGAAGGCAGGGAGAGGAAGGCGTCACCGGCAGCGGCCGGTCCGGGGACGCTGCCCCAGAGAACTCCCCCCCCCGCAACACCCGCTGCAAGGATCAGCACCCCCGAGTCACACGCTGGCAAAGGGCCCGGGGTCTGGAAGCGCCATTCACCTGATCACGACGCTGTGGGACCTCCGAGCCAGGCGATCAACTTCCTCCATCGAGATCTGGTCGATTTTGTTGTACACCTACGGCCAAGGGTAGGGACATTTACGCAGCATGTTAGCAGTCAACCACATCTCTCCCCGCCCCTATCTAAGGTTTGTTTGTTTGGTCATTCATTCATTATCTCTGGCAGGCTGCCCTTAGGACAGGCAACAACAACAATACTAAAAACAATACTAAATTAATCCAACAGGATTAACGATCCCGGGGCAACGCAGAGCTTGTATGCTAGCCAGGTTTAATGTGTTGCCATCAGCAGTATTATGGGGGAGATTCCAAAAAATCCCATTCGACAACAGATTGTGCTCTTGCTCGCAGGGGGAGAGAGAATCTCTGGAATACGTGCTGCTCTCGTGCACTTTTTATTCGGACTTGCGCTTTAGATTCATCGAGCCTTGGTTGAGAAAGTATTCAGGGAAACCTGATAAAAGTAAGATTTACTTTTTGTTGACAAATCAGAACGAAGAAGAAGAAGAAGAAGAAGAAGAAGAGGAAGAGGAAGAAGAGGAAGAGGAAGAGGAGGAGGAGATTGGATTTATACCCCGCCCTTCACCACCCAAAGGAGTCTCAGAGCGGCTTACAAACTCCTTTCTCTTCCCCTCCCCACAACAGACACCCTGTGAGGTAGGCAAGGCTGAGAGAGCTCTGACAGAAACTCCTCTTTTTCAAGGACAGCTCTTATCAGAACTACTGCTTGCCCAAGGTCGTCCAGCCAGGTGCAAGTGGAGGAGTGGGGAATCAAACCCGGTTCTCCCAGAGTAGAGTCCGTGCACTTAACCACTACACCAAACTGGCTCTCTTGGAAACTGTTGCAAAATTTTGGTATGAAGTTTTAACAAGACGTTCAGTATTCTTTGCAAACTGAGTTGTATGCTCTGTAGGTTATGCCAATAAAGACTGATTGATACTAAATTAATCATTAAAACCCAGTTTACTACAACAGTTGATAACCATTTAGAACTAACCAGTCAAATGGCAGTGCATGGTTTGGCACAACTTTGGTGCGTCTTCTCTTGGGAGAGACTGTATTTCAGGAGTGTCCTTGGATGTTAGGATGGTACCATAGCAGACGGACAGACAAAACCAAAGCAACAAAGCAGGGAAAGGCCAATATGGATGGAATTGGCGCCACCACAACCACAGGCCTGGCGGAATATCTTTGTTTCGCAGGCCCTGCAGAGCTCCATTAGGTCTCACAGGGCCTGGATCTCACTTGGGAGAGCGTTCCACCAGGCCAGCGTCAAAGATTCCAACCTTCTTGAGTGTGGAAACCTGACTTCCCCCCTCGTTCCTACAACTCTGCACCACAGCGTGTAAGTAACTACACATATTAAGCGCAGATGGAAAATAAGAAGCAACATTCAACCTTTGCACTACAAGAACACACATGACGTTGGGGGAGGGCTTCTGGAGTTCTGGCCCCGCTGGTGGACCTCCTGATGGCACCTGGGTTTTAGCTGCTATGTGACACAGAGTGTGGGACTGGATGGGCCATCAGCCTGAACCAGCATGGCTTCTCTTATGATCTTATGTCTGGGGCAGTGATGCTCTGTCTTCTTGGTGCTTAGGGGTCACGAGTGGGAGGGCTTCTGGAGTTCTGGCCCCTGCTGGTGGACCTCCTGATGGCACCTGGGTTTTAGCTACTGTGTGACACAGAGTGTGGGGCTGGATGGGCCATCGGCCTGATCCAACATGGCTTCTCTTAAGGTTCTTATGTCTGGGGCAGTGATGCTATGTGTTCTTGGTGCTTAGGGGTCACGAGTGGGAGGGCTTCTGGAGTTCTGGCCCCGCTGGTGGACCCTCCTGATGGCACCTGGGTTTTAGCCACTATGTGACACAGAGTGTTAGACTGGATGGGCCATCGGCCTGATCCAACATGGCTTCTCTTAGGTTCTTGTGTCTGGGGCAGTGATGCTCTGTGTTCTTAGGGCTTAGGGGGCACGAGTGGGAGGGCTTCTGGAGTTCTGGCCCCGCTGGTGGACCTCCTGGTGGCACCTGGGTTTTGGCCTCTGTGTGACACAGAGTGTTAGACTGGATGGGCCATCGGCCTGATCCAACATGGCTTCTCTTACATTCTTATGTAACCCGGGACCTTCTGGACATCAAGCAGAGGCTCTGCCACTGAGCCACGGACCCTCCCCATATCATCCAGGATCTCCGGTCAAGGTCCTTCCCGTCACCTACCACCTGGTCCTTTTAAGGGGAGAGACTGAACCTGGGACCTTCTGCACCTCCAGACAACCAAGGAAACATCAAGACGACAAACTGCAGACACTCTTGGCCCCACACTTATGGGGGAACGACACTCATCCTGCCCCAGCGTCTTCAAAGAGCGAAGTCTCCCTCCCAAAAAATACTCACATAAAGGCAGGGCATGTAGACCCGATTGCCAACGATCACGTCGATGAACTCATCAGGCGAGCAGTCTTCCCTGAAGAGGACCTCGGCGTTGAAGATTTCTCGAAGGGGGCAGAGTTAAGATTATAAAGCCATTTAGGTTTGTTTGGAGTCCCAACCTCTGTTAGACTAGGTAAAGGTGAAGGCTTCCCTTGCTCGAAAGCCAGTTGAATCCAACTCTAGGGGGCGGTGCTCACCTCCGATTCAAAGCCGAAGAGCCAGCGCTGTCCGAAGACATTTCCGTTGTCATGTGGTCGGCATGACTAAACGCCGAGGCGCACGGAACGCTGTTACCTTCCCACCAAAGCAGTCCCTATTTATCTACTTGCAATTTCTTGCTTTCAAACTGCTAGGTTGGCAGGAGCTGGGGCCAGAGAGGGGAGCTCACTCTGTCACGCGGCACTCGGGTCTCGAACTGCTAAATGTTTGGTTGGTGTCCTTAAGGTCAGGGGTTTCTGGCTTTGCTTTTACACAGAAGAAGAAGAAGAGATTGGATTTATTCCTCCGCCCTTCACTACCCAAAGCTGTCTCAGAGCAGCTGACAAACTCCTTTCCCTTCCCCTCCCCACAACAGACACCCTGTGAGGCAGGTGGGGCTAAGAGAGCTCTGACAGAAACTGCTCTTTTTCAAGAACAGCTGTGCCCAGAACTATGGCTTGCCCAAGGTGCAAGTGGAGGAGTGGGGAATCAAACCCGGTTCTCCCAGATTACAGTCCGCACACTTAACCACTACACCAAACTGGCTCTTTTTCAAGAACAGCTCTTATCAGAGCTACGGCTTGCCCAAGGTCATCCAGCCAGGTGCAAGTGGAGAAGTGGGGAATCAAACCCGGTTCTCCTAGATTAGAGTCCGCGCACTTAACCACTACACCAAACTGGCACACACACACACACACGCTCTCCCACATATGCACACACTGTTCCCGCATGCTTGGGTCCTCGTTTGACACTCTAACCCCTACACCGCACGGCCTCTCGTGACACAGAAGCGATTGCCATTCGTGTCTGAAGCAGCAAGCTCAAAGCGTGGCCCGCGGACGGCCGCCCCAAAAGGATACTGTATTCGTGGAGAATGAGCTGCACGAGTTTCTCAGAGCACTGGGTTAGCGTCACCGTCGAATTGAAGGAGATACCCCCTCCCTTCTTCGGCTGGAAAAGAGAAGGCGGGCTTCGTGAAAAGAGAGACTCCTCTGCCGCATTAAACCGGTTCACAGTGTGACCGAGTGGATGGACAAAGTCCCGGGACCTCCGTTGGCTAACCCTCCGCATGTGAATCCATTTTGGAAGGCAGACTACAGGGGTGGGAGTCACATGATCAGACACTCCTGCACGAAAACAAGTTCCCTGCAACTAGAAAGCTAGGTGCCAAGGAAAAGGGTTAAAGTCTGGCCTCTCCCTGCTTGTTGTTGTTGTTGTTGTTGTTCAGTCGCACAGTCGAGTCTGACTCTTCGCGACCCCATGGAACAGATCACGCCAGGCCTTCCTGTCTTCCGCCGTCCTCTGAAGTTGGCTCAAATTCATGTTCGTTGCATCCATGACACTGTCTAACCATCTCATCCTTTGCCGTCCCCGTCTTCTCCTTGCTAACCTTATGTAAAGAGAATGGGTGCCCCAGAAAGGGGGCGGGGATATCTAAAGTTGTACAGCCCTGACCTAGGACAACCACCTCAGCAGGAAGAAGGCCTCGTTGTATTTATTTATTATTATGTATTATTTGAAACCTCTCTTAGCTGTCTTTCTTTCGTACTGAGTTCACGGTGGCTTGCAGTATCAACCCACAGGAGGAGGAAGGAGGAGAAGGAGAGATTGGATTTAGACCCCGCCGTTCACTTGGGAGTCTCAGAGCGGGTTACAATCTCCTTTCCCTTCCCCTCCCCACCACAGACACTCTGTGAGGTAGGTAGGTGGGGCTGAGAGAGCTCTTTCGAGGACTGCTCTTGAGAGAACAGCTCTGACAGAACTTGTGACTGACCCAAGGTCACACCACCAGCTGCACGTGGAGGAGTGGGGGAATCAAACCCAGTTCTCCCAGATTAGAGTCCGCGCTCCTAACCACCACACCAAAATAGAGTACATAAAAATACATAAAACCAAAATTTAAACACAAATGAAACCGCCTTACACTGAATCAGACCTCTGGCCCAGCAAAGTCAACTCAGACTGGCAGCAGCTCTCCGGGGTCTCAGGCAGAGATCCTTCACATCAGGTCTACCCCCTGGTCCCTTTTTTAAACTGGAGGTGCCGGGGATTGAACCCGTGACTTTCTGTATGCCAGGCAGAGGCTCTACCACAGGGCCCTCCCCTGTAATACACGAACCCATGAAGCTGCCTCCTACTGAACCAGACCATCGGTCCATCAAAGCTCAGTATTGTCTACTCAGACTGGCAGCCGCTCTCTAGGGCCTCAGGCAGAGATCTTTCATATCACCCGATCCTTTAAACTGGATCCTTTAAACCTGCAACCTGACCCTTTAAACTGGAGCTGCTGGGGATTGAACCAGAGACCTCCTGCGTGCCAAGCAGAGGCTTCATCCCTAAGCCACCGCCTCTCCCCAAATCAAAATGCAGTGCTAAACGAAACAGTCTTCCATTTCATGAGACACATAAAACACCGTGAGGCGCATCGGTGACTTCTAGGGGTACCAGCTGACTTCCAAGATGGCCAGCTGACCAAAAGGAAGTCCACATGACCCAGCACTTGATCGTTGTTGGGGACAGACAAGGGGGCAACTCCTTTCCAGGGCCAGAGCCGTGCAGGTTGGCCTGAAATCTCGAAGTCAGGAGGGAGCTGCATTCCCCAGCAGAGGCCCTTTATCATATCGCTGCCTCGTAAGGGGTGTGTGTGTGAACCACGAGGTCTGAGCCAAGGCCGTTCTTGGGGCGTTCGTTCAAAAGCAGAGGGCAAAGCCACGTGAACCCCCCAGCAGAGCTCAGCCCAGGAGCATCCCCAGAAGAGCACCAGAGATATCATCAATCAAGGGCGAGATGTTCCTTCCGAGTCGCCCCGGGATTCCTCACCTTGAAGTAGATGTTGGGCTTCAGTTTGTTCAGCCGGATGCCCACCGATTCCAACTCCTTCTCCAACAGAGCCCTGCAGGGTGCAGACGATAAGTAAAAACGGATCGGGGTCACCGCGCAGTGTTCCCTCTAAGCTGAGTGAGAGCCGGCTCACACATTTTTCCCTTAGCTCAGGGAGGAGGGCTCCAGAGCAAACTGATTTATGTCGGAGCCATATCGCTCACTTACAACTTTAATGCCAGCAGCTCGCAAAGTAGAATCTTTGCTCACAAGGCTCCACAGTTTAGAGGGAGCATTGGTTGCCAGCCACTGGCTTGTATTTTCCAGACATCCAAAGGAAAGGGATCCAGACCCACTGCCCAATCCCAGTTGGAGAGGTTTGCCTGGAGCCGGGGTTAACCTGACAAACTAGGATCTGGGACAGCCAGGTTCGAATCCTCCCTGCTGTCATGGAAGCCCGCTGGGCGATCTTGGGCTGGTTGTGGGCCCTCAGCCTAGCATACCTCACAGGGTTGTTGGGAGGAGACCATGGAGGAGAGGGGAGCAATGTGAGCCACTCTGGCGAGAAAGCCGGGGCACAAAGGAAATAGAGTTTTTGATCAGAACAAGGATGCTCTTCTCCTTATATAGGCTCACCCAGACAAGGATATGGGAGAGCCAGGTTCGAATTTCCCTCCCTGCCACGAAAGCTATTTATAAAAAAACAAAAAGAGCCCTGCTGGGTCAGACCAGTGGCTCATCTGGCTCCAGCATCCTCTCCCACACAGTGGCCAATCAGGAGGGCCAAAAGCTCCTTTAGTGGTCCAACAAGCTTACCAGATGACCCTGGCCCAGTCACATGCTCTAGCCTACCTCACAGGGTTGTTGTGAGGACAAGAAGGAAATATTGGAGGAGGAGGAGGAGGAAGGAGAAGAAGGAAAAGAGGAAGAAGAGATTGGATTTATACCCCGCCCTTCACTACCCAAAGGAGTCTCAGAGCTGCTCACAAACTTCTTCCCCTTCCCCTCCCCACAACAGACACCCTGTGAGGTAAGCGGGGCTGAGAGAGCTCTTTTGAGGACTGCTCTTGAGAGAACAGCTGTGCCAGAACTATGGCTTGCCCAAGGTCGTCCAGCAGCTGCAAGCGGAGGAGTGGGGAATAAAACCCACTTCTCCCAGATTAGAGTCTGCGCACTTAACCACTGCACCAAACTGGCTCTCTAGAAGAAGAAGGAAGAAGAGGAAGAAGAAGGGTTGGATTTATACCCCACCCTTCATTCGGAGTCTCAGAGTGCCTTATAATTCCCATCCCTTCCTTCCCCCAGAACAGACACCCTGTGAGGGAGGTGGGGCTGAGAGTGCTCTTTCGAGGACTGCTCTTGAAAGAACCACTGAGAGAATTTGTGACTAACCCAAGGTCACCCAGCAGCTGCATGTGAAGGAGGAGTGGAGAATCAAACCCAGTTCTCCAGATTAGGGTCCGCCGCTCTTTACCGCTGCACCATTGGGAAGAAAAATGGGGATAAAACCCTATAAAACCAACCACTGAATTATCTTTGGAGGAAGCCCATCTGCCAGTACTATTCTTCTCACTGAAGAACCCCTTCTAAGTGCCAATGACTTGCTAACCCAGAATTTGAAAACTACCAGTTTACACTTCTCTCTTGCCTCCATCTGTGTGCTCGCTGGCTCTCGCTGCCACCCAAATACTCTCAGACAGTTAAGCAAGGCTTCGGTCAAGACAACCGCTTGCCGTTCCTTTCTACGGTCCCTGAGTTCCAGTGCAGTCAAATTACCCCCAATGCTCTGCCACACAGTAAACCTCCAGAACTTGGGAATGGCCAAAGCCTTCACATCTTTATGATTTTCGTCGCCGGCTGGTTCACTGGGGCCGCTTACCTCTGCACTTCCCCCTTCGTGGCATCCAACATCATGATGACAACGTCTGCCGTTCGGGCCACAGCGATTACTTGACGCCCACGGCCCTTCCCTGCAGAAGAAGGGAGCAGAGGGGGGGATTATATACTCTGACAGCATGGGAACTGGAAGCCAGAAGGCCACAGAAGAATCTGTAAGTGACCACATGAATACATACACGAAGCTGCCTTATACAGACGGAGACCTTCGGTCCATCAAGGTCAGCACTGTCTACTCAGACTGGCAGTGGCTCTCCAAGGTCTCACACGGAGGTCTTTCCCATCACCTCCTGCCTGGTCCTGTTTAACTGGAGATGCTGCCGGGGATTGAACCTGGGACTTTCCTTATGCCAAGCAGAGGTTCTACCACTGAGCCACGGCCCCGCCTTACAGCTCTCCAGGGTCTCAGGCGGAGGTCTTTCCCATCACCTCCTGCCTGGTCCTTTTAACTGGAGATGCTGGGGATTGAACCTGGTGCCTTCTGAGTGTCAAGCAGAGGCTCTACCACTGAGCCACATTCCCATTTCTCATTTGTAAGCAGTTTGGATATTGAACAGCCCTGCTGGCGACCAGTATTCTGCCACTTCCCTTCCAAACCTCCTCTCCTTTAACCCCGGGGTTTAGAAACCCGAGTAGATTCACACAAGCGGGGTCCGCGTTCCACACCTGACAGCATGATTTGCAGTCCTGTGGATGCATGCAATCTCGAGGACATTTCCCTAACTACGGGATGTGTTCAAAAATTAAGAGGTGGGTGGGAGAAGAACAGGGGTCCCCCAACCTTTTGGAGCACCTCTGGAGTTCTGACAGTGTGGTGGGTGGAGCCACCAAATGTCTGCTGCAGGAGGCGGAGCCAGCCGCAAAATGGCTGCCGCCGCTCACCTTCAGTCACCCAGTGGTGATCCTTGGGCTGCAGTGGAAGCTGCCGCCAAAGCAACCTTTTTAAAAATCTGCACTGCCCATCAAATCTCCAGTGGCCAATCAGAAGCCTTGCTGGGCAAAAGCCCCCTCTTTCCCCCTCCCACTTAGGAATGTCAACACAACACCAAACGAGTAGGACAAGACGACAACCTTGTGCGGCTCCTTCGATGATTCCTGGCAGGTCCAGAAGCTGAATGTTGGCCCCTTTGTACTGCAGACAAAACAAAACAGCTGTGTTATGTATACCGTTTAAATGTCTATGCATTTTACCGTCCAAACAGCTACAAGTCCCCACGAGGGTGTCAGAATTGGACCCTTGGTTTGGGGTCAGTCTGGATACGCACTGGTGTTCTGATGTACATAGCTAATTGCCCTGCTTGCTTGCACACTATCCCAAAAGCTTTATCTTTGTATTCTCACACTGGCTTCTTGTTCTCATGCTGATTGTAACACCTGCTAGCAATGAATCATCTCCTATACAAAGTCCTCCTCTGACATTCCCAGGACGAGGGGGTAGTTGAGACGTGCTTGGTTGTCTATTGTAGACAGTGTGCTTGGTACTCTTTTATGAGAAACTTCCTCCACAGTGGCCAGGAGATTGTTCGCTTCTCATGATGTCTCTTGGCCTCGCAGGAAGTCTGTTAGAAAAACATTCTCACAGTTTTAATTTCAGGGCTCTTTTTGTAGCAGGAACTCCTTTGCATATTAGGCCACACACCCCTAATGTAGCAAATCCTCCAAGAGCTTACAGAGCTCTTCTTACAGGGGCTACTGTACGCTCTGGGAGGATTGGCTACATTAGGGGTGTGTCACTTAATATGCAAATGAGTTCCTGCTACAAAAAGAGCCCCGTGTAACAGTACTTTGTTAACCTGTCTCTATCACATGTAACCATGACGTATGACTGTGGGCCACACCAAAGTTCTCGTAAGAGCTAAACTTGTATTACCTGCCAGTACTGTCAAAGCCTTTGATTCACCTGCAACTTTTCTGATTGCTAATAAAATCCATAAATGGACTTATTGCGTCTGAGAGTTACTGCAGAGTCTTACAGAGGGAGGAAAGCGGAAGAAACCAATTGAAATAGAAGAACGGAATTATTGCAAGGTGGCACAAAGATGGTAGTCCACACAGGACATTTCTGCAGCAGGCACTGAAGAGAGCCAGTCTTCTCCCCACTGCTAGAACGCCAGCCCTGTAAGTACCCACACATCTGAGGAAGGGATCTCTGACCCACAGACATTTTAGCCAGAATCAGGGTTCACAGTCTCTAACGTCTTTACTGGACTCCTGTTTGATATTATTGATTGTGACGCTGCTGAACAAGGACAGCGCAGCGATCTCTTGATGCCAACTTGCGCTGATCTGCCAAATGTGCGCTGATCTGCCAAATGTGAACAAATATACTGTGTATGTTATCTGTACTAACTGGATTCAATGGCAGCTGCTGGTGATATTTGTACAATCAGAAATCTATCTAGGGTATAGACGTTTTAGGGAGACGGTGCCAATTATAAACATTTTTTTTGCGTGGGCTACAAGAAGCGTTCCCTCTAAGCTGAGTTAGTGTGAGCTAGCTCACAGTTTTTTAGCCTCTAGCTCACACATTTTTGTCTTAGCTTATAAACGATGGCTCCGGAGGAAACTAACTTATGCAGTGGACAGATCACTCGCTCACAACTTTAATGCCAGTAGCTCACAAAGTAGAATTTTTGCTCACAAGACGCCTCAGCTTAGAGGGAACATTGGACAAGTGCTTGTGATTCTTTCTTTTTAATTTGCTGATAACTTATTATGACAACTTTGTTTTGAAACATTTTGTGAGTGTCTGGGGTTCTTTTTTTAACGTTGCTGCTGCTTTGAAAACAATTAAAACAATAGAGAAGTATGTAATAGTAAACAGTAAACGGAAGAATGTCCAATGTATGTCATTATGTTGATATACGCATTGTAATTAATGTAAATACGGAAAAAGAACTGAGGAAACTGAAAGGAATCATATTTAACGGGTGTGATAAGATAATAGGATTCAGAATAGGAAGTAACTCTTGGTTAGAAAGTAAGGATAACAGAAGTTAGTGGATTAGTTTGAGACCACTTTCTATTATTAAGAATTTTGGGGGTGAATAATAGAATAGATTGATGGAAAATTAGGTCAATAACCTGTATTATTGTTCACTAGAAAAAATAATAAATTGTGAATTTAAAAAAAAGAGAATGTAAAGATATTGATGTGAACCGAGACTGATTTTTTCATTAAAGAAAACAAACCTTGATCTTTTTATCAGCTCTGTATTTGCTTTTGTCTGATCCTGTGCGCAGAATTTTTGCTCACAGGACTCCACAGCTTAGAGGGAGCATTATTCCTAAGAAACCTCCTTTGTACAGGGACAACCTTGAAGCCAAACTGTGCCTGCTCTGCTATCATAGATAAAGAAACTATATATTCACAGGTGGGGGTGTAGAGAGCGCGAAAGGCAGAACACTTGTGAAGTGTGATTGGATGCTGAAAGGGGGGGCTCATTTGAACTGTCTATCTCTTTGGATTCTCCCGCCAGAACCTCAGTTCCGACACGGTACGGACCTAGCCTGGAACAACTTTATTTCTCAATAAACAAATCACTGCCAGAGAGTGCTGTTGAGAGTAACTTGGTCTGACAGTAGGCTGCCTTGAACCATGAGGAAAGGTGGAATACAAACGTCTTGATAAAAAGAAACAGTAACTTCCCCGCCCCCCCCACCATAGAGAACAATGGAGGGGATGGGGCAACTTGTTTGGGGGCCCAGAGAATTGGACCCTCTGGTCCAATGTTCTTGAACCTTGGTGGGTATCTTGGGGAGAGGCTCCAGCAGCTACCCTGCAAGTTTGGAGCCTCTCCCTCAAACCCCCTCCCCTCCAGCCCCCAGAATATACCCTATGTTTTCATCATTGACTTCAATGACCCACAGAATATAATGGAGCTGAAACTGACATTCCGCTGGCCAAAGGGCTCTACTGCCGAAATTGACATGCGGGCGTCTTTCTGCTGGCTGAAATTGATTCTGCCCAATTCGGCCAAATCCGAATCGGGCCGAATATTATTTTTTTTGCACACCCCTATAATAAATACATTTTCAAGCCCAACTTGTCTAGGTTTTTGGCAAACTCGTCTGAAGCACACTGGAAGACCCCAGTGAGAGAGAAGGACTGTCCAGTTTGAAGAGATGCAGAAGGTATGAAGACACCGGGGATCGCGGATCCTCCCACCCGTTGCGTCCCGGGGCCACCTGGGGCTGACCCCACCCCCTCTGAAGTACAACCGGCCTCCAACAGCACCGACCTCTATGACGCCAGGGATGCAGGTCAAGGTCGTGAACTCGTAGGACGCCGCCTCGCTGGCCGTGGAGGTCATCAAGCTCAGGAACGTGGACTGAAAGGGAAACGAGAGGTGTTGACGGCACCAGCAAGGGGGGGCAGGTCAAAAACGGGAGAAGCCGGGGTCCAGCAGTGGCCGTGAGCCCTGGTGACTGAGGGGAACCTCCAGGTTCAGAGGCATTCAACCTCTGGATCCCAGAGCCAGGAGGCAACCTCAGGGGAAGATGACGGACTAGATGGACTATCTGTCTGATCCAGCAGGGCTCTTCTGAGGTTCCTATCAGGGGAAGGCCTTGGCCTCTGTGCACGGTTGTTGGACCTCCAGAGGAACTGTTTGGCCCCTGTGTGAGGCAAGATGGTGAACTAGATGGACCCTCCCTGGTCTGATCCAGCAGGGCTCTTCTGAGGTTCTTATGAAGGCCTCAGCCTCTGTTGTTGGCCAGAGGAACTGGTTGGCCACTGTGTGAGACGGGCTGCTGGACTAAAGAACCCAGCAGGGCTCTTCTGATGCTCTTGTCAGGGGAAGGCCTCAGCCTCTATGCCCTGTTGTTGGCCCTCCAGAGGAACTGGCTGGCTGCTTTAAGAGACAAGATGCTGGACTAGTTGGAGTCCTTGTCTGATCCAGCAGACCATTTCTTAATGATCTCCCTGGGGGCACGTTTCCAGGTGTGTCACTTCATCACGTGTCTATGGATGGAAATCTTGCAAAACGGATTTGCACCAGGCTGCCCTCAACAGGAGCATGCCGCTTCTTTCTTTTCTAGTAAATGCATCATCCACAAACCAAAGCTGTCATCCTCCACTTGCCCGACCCTTCCCACTTCTCGCTACTGGAATTCTGTACCTCCTGGCCTCCATTTGTTGTCTCTGGATTCGAACATGGGTGAGAATTGCAACCCCTTCACTTTGTATCTGATGAAGAGAGCTTTGCCTCTCAAAAGCTTACATTCTGAAAAACCTTGTTGATCTCTAATGTGCTTCTGGGCTTGAATCTAGTATCTGAGAAAGGGTGCTTTGGGTCTCACACGCTTATATTCTGAAAATCTTGTGTCTCTCTAAAGTTCTACTTTAGCTTATCACCAGTGTCCCCTCTAAGCTGAGTTAGTGTGAGCTAGCTCACAGTTTTTAGCCTCCGACTCGCACACTTCTATCTTCGCTCAGGAAGGAGGGCTCCGGAGCAAACTAATTTATGCAGCAGCCAAATCGCTCGCTCACCATTTTAACGCCAGCAGCTCACAAAGCGGAATTTTTGCTCATGAGACTCCACAGCTTAGAGGGAGTATTGCTTATCACCCTCCATTTTCTTTTCCCTTGACTCCGCATCCTTCCTCTCTCCGATTTCGAGCCTCTCCCTTTAAAGGAACCCACATCAAAGATAGCAATTCTTGATTATTTTTTCTGTCACTGACCTTACCCACAGAGGGAAACCCGATCAGAGCCACCCGGGCATCTCCAGACTTCATCACATCGAACCCTTCGCCTTTCGCTGCGGCCGATTTCGAGGGCTCCAAGAGCTGCGCTCTGTATTTTGCGAGTTTCGCCTTCAGCAGACCCAGATGGTACTCGGTGGCTGGAGAGTACAGTTAAGGGGGGAGGGGAAGACACTCCATGAGCATAAATCTAATAAGCTTGGTCCAGCGGTTGAAATGCAGGACGACGATTCAAGAGGCTTGCTTGGTACCCTTAGGCTGGGCATGCTCAACCTCACGGACCCCCCAGGGTCATTGTAAGGGCAAATTGAGGGGTGAGAAGAAAGTCTAATGAAGGTAGGGTTCTCAAGTACTTACCGCGATCTGGCAGGGGAAACATGCTCCCCGGCCGGACCATTCCTCCCTGTAACGCACCATGCCGTCGCCAGGAAGTGACGCTGGGCGATGCTCTGGCAATGGGGCTGAAAACTTGATGGTACCATCGAGTTTCCAGCCCCATTGCCAGAGCATCGCCCGGCATCACTTCCTGGCGACGGCATGGTGCGGTGCGTCTGTTGTCCCCGCGGGAATGATCCTACGAACACGTCTGTGTCCCCCGCCGAATCCCGGTAACTACTTGGGAAGCCTGAATGAAGGGCCAATATTAAAAACCTAGTTAAAACTTATAATATACAAAAATACAAGTATTTTACTTTACAATTCTTTACTTTTTATTAGAGAGACAGCTAAAAACATACATAAGGGCCCAATGAAAGCCTCGTAAAAAAGTATAGCCTAAACACAATGACCTGACGCATTTCTGCCCCTATTGGGGCTTTCTTCAGAGATGCTGGAGAAGACTCTTGAGAGTCCCTTGGACTGCAAGAAGAACAAATCAGTCAATCCTAAAAGAAAATCAACCCTAACTGTTCCCTGGAAGGCCAGATAATGAAACTGAAGCTCAAATACTTTGGCCACCAAATGAGAAGGGAGCCCTCACTGGAGAAGACCCTGATGCTGGGAAAGATTGAAGGTCAAAGAAGACGGGGACGGCAAAGGATGAGATGGTTAGACAGTGTCATAGATGCAACGAACATGAAATTGAGCCAACTTCAGAGGACAGCGGAAGACCGGAATGCCTGGCGGGAGCTGGTCCATGGGGTCGCAAAGAGTCGGACTCGACTGTGCGACTGAACATCATCATCATCTTCAGAGGTCAAACAATATTGAGGTACACATAACTTAAATACATATTGCAATAAGATAACCAATAAGTGAATAATGGACCAGGAAGAGAAGAAGAGAGAAGAGATTGGATTTATACCCCGCCCTTCACTACCTGAAGGAGTCTCAGAGCGGCTTACAAACTCCTTTCCCTCCCCCTCCCCACCACAGACGCCCTGTGAGGTGGGTGGGGCTGAGAGAGCTCTTGACAGAAGCTGCTCTTTTTCAAGGACAGCGTGTGCCTGAACCATGGCTTGCCCAAGGTCATCCAGCCAGGTGCAAGTGGAGGAGTGGGGCGTCCGCGCACCAAACCACTACACCAAAGAGGAAGGTTAAGCAGCAAGATCTAAAGACACGTGACAAAGATGTTTTACTTTTATTCTTTTTCATAAACAAAGATGTTTGTGAGGCCTCAACAGGTGAAAGTCATGTGTCTGGTGCCAAATGCACAGCTGCTGAATTAGAACATTTTCCAATTAAGGTCCAAAAAACACCTGTGGGGCTATCAAAGTCAGAGCTAGAGTGTCTTCAAGCAAATAGCAGTCAACCCAGCATGTTTATGACAAGGGAAGCAATAGAGTTTAGAATATTCAGAGCTGGGTTACCTCCTCTCTTCTCTCCCTCCCTTACAAATCTCACACCTCCACGAGCTCCCTCCCTAATTCCTACCCGATTCCTGCCAGAGAGCTCCTATTTCCTGCCAGCAACGTCCACACCTGAATCCTGATATCTAAGGGTGAAATTGGAGTCAATAGCACTGTGCTTATATAGAAGAAGAGGAGGAGGAGATTAGATTTATACTCTGCTCTTCACTACCCAAAGGAGTCTCAGAGCAGCTTACAAGCTCCTTCCCCTTCCCCTACCCACAACAGACACCCTGTGAGGTAGGCGGAGCTGAGAGAGCTCTTTCAAGGACTGCCCTTGAGAGAACAGCTCTGAGAGAACTTGTGACTGACCCAAGGTCACCCCAGCAGCTGCATGTGGAGGAGTGGGGAATCAACCCCGGTTCTCCCAGATTAGAGTCCGTGCTCCTGACCACTACCCCAAACTGGCTCTTGTGTGTGTGTCGACTTATGCAGTTGATTTATGCAACCTCTCATGGGGTTTTCCAGATCAGACATGTTCAGAGGTGTTTTGCTGTTGCCTGCATCTATGTAAAGGGACATCAAGTCACAGCCAGCTTATGGGGACCCCAGCCAGGGGCTTTCAAGGTAGGAGAAGAGCAGATGTGGCTGGCTGTTGCCTTCCTCTGCGGAGCCTTCCCTGGTGGTTTCCCATTCGAGTACTGACCCTGCTCAGCTTCTGAGATCTCTTGAAGTTGGGCTACACCATGACGCCTGCCCTCCCTTATATTCTTACAATAAATTTAATTAATAAAATGAGCGCAGCTAAAGCATCACACTGCTTTACTTCACCAAGAGAGAGATGGCACCGGTAAGAAATTGAAAGCTATTTTCTTCCCAGCAAATATTCCAAAGCAATCAGCGACTCTCCCATTTCTTTGTGCACCTTTGTATGGGTGGAGTACCACCTGTTGAGCTTCAGCCTGTCCTGCAACCGACCCCTGGAAAATCAAGCCAGCTGTGAATCCTGTTAGGCTGCGTGCCATGCTTGACAAATTTTGATTGGCGATTCCCTCTATGATATGCTGTACTGTATGAAAATAGTTGGAATCTACTAACACTACGTCAGCTAATTGAAAACAACAATAGAGTTGCATATGCATTTTATTTTCCATGCTGTAAGGCCCGAGGAAGGCATTAGAAATGAGGTTTACACCCATTCTCGTAGTCTTGCAGTCGTCTTGCATTTCTGCACATTTCAAGTCTTCAGCGCTGCTCTACAACCCTAGAGGGTACTTTTTTGGTTTGTTCTTCTATGCATCTTTACTTGCTTGAGATTTCTATTAAAAAGTAAAAAGCCCAGTAGCACCTTTAAGGCTAACAAACTTTATTGTAGCATAAGCTTTCGAGAAACACAGCTCTCTTCATCAGATGCATGGAGGGTGTGAAGAAACTGGCCAGAGATATGCGCCTCCATGTATCTGACAAAGAGAGCTGTGCTTCTCGAAAGCTTATGCTGCAATAAAGTTTGTTAGCCTTAAAGGTGCTACTGGGCTCTTTGCTATTTTGCAGCTACAGACTAACATGGCTAACCCCTCCGGATCTTGAAATTTCTATGTAACAGATGGTCTTTGTCAAACGTATCCACTTGGATTTAGATTATGTTCTAATATATATCTCCTGCCAACCTAGCAGTTCGAAAGCAAGAAATTGCAAGTAGATAAATAGGGACCGCTTCGGTGGGAAGGTAACGGCGTTCCGTGCGCCTCGGCGTCTAGTCACGCCAGCCACGTGACCACAGAGAAGTCTTCGGACAGCGCTGGCTCTTCGGCTTGGAAACGGAGATGAGCGCTGCAACCCTAGAGTTGGATTTGAACTGGCTTTCAAGACGAAGAAGAAGAGATTGGATTTATACCCCGCCCTTCACTACCCAAAGGAGGCTCAGAGCGGCTTACGAATTCCCTTTCCCTTCCCCTCCCCAGCTGGGTGGGGCTGAGAGAGCTCTGACAGAAACTGCTCTTTCTCAAGAACACCTCGGACAGAACTATGGTCATCCAGCAGGTGCAAGTGTAGGAGTGGGGAATCAAACCTGGTTCTCCCAGATTAGAGAACCACTGCACCAAACTGACGAGCAAGGGAAACCTTTACCTTTATCTTTACCTAATATATATATTATACAGTATTGCAATGAGAGAATCGCAGATGCAACCTAAACACACGTAACCATTTTGAAAGTGACTAGCATCGTGTCTATTTCATACTTTGCATGTTATAAATCATAACATGCAAAGTATGAAACAGACACAATATAATTTATAATAGACACAATATAATAGACACAATATAATTCATAACAGACACAATATAATAGACGCAATATAATTTATAACATGCAAAGTATGAAACAGACACAATGCTAGTCAGTTTATAACTTATAAATGTAACTTGCACCGGGGCTATTGCCTTAGGGAAAGGAGAAGGGGCAACCTGCTCCCGAGGAGACCCGCCTGCGCAGCAACCCCTTTCCCCTCCCACCCAGCTCCAGCCCTCCTCCCACCCAGCTCCCTCGAGGCGGTGGCTTTTGCTCCGCCAGGCGGAAGCCCAGCAGCAGGTGAGGCTCCACGCCAAGCTGCAGCGGCTCCCCGGCCGCGCACTCGCCTACCTTTGTTCTTCTGGGTCCGGGCGATCTCCTTCTCGATCTCCGCGATCTTCTCCAGGATCCCCATCGCGGCGCTCCACCCCGGCTGAGCCGGACTCTCTCCAGGCCGGGAAGCAGCGCGCGACGGGCCGGGCAAGCGGCCCCGGAAGTAGAGCGCGCAAGCCGCCGGAAGTAGTTTTCAGGTGGTCCGTCGTTTGAATGGCCCCCCTCGGCGAACCGGAGCCGCGACTTTTCGTTCCGCCTCTACGTCGTTTAGCGTTGCCAACCCTTGATTGGGAAACATCCGGAGATTTTGCAGGAGGAGTCTTTGGAGGGCAGGGTTTGGGGAAGGACCTGTGCTGGGGTTATGGTTGCCAGCCTCCAGGTGGGACCTTGAGATCACCTAGGATTAGAGATGTGAAGGCCCGGAAAAAAACCAGGAAAATTCAGGGAAATTTTTCCCTGAAGCCTTTTCCCCCCCTGAAGCCTTTTTTTTTCCCCGAAAAATTGGAAAAAAGAAAAGAAAAAAAGATTATGGAACCTTTTATTAATATGATGAATAAAATATTTTAAGACAAGGTGTTCAAATATCTTCCAAATCATTTCTAATATATATATATATGGGATCAGATTGATCTAATTTCTGTGCACTGAGGACAAGCAAGTCCTAGGTTACAAACTGAACTCTCTCCCATGCAAGAACAAGATGCATTTCTTCCTTTAGGAGGTACTCTTGTCACAAGAAAAAAAAAGGTTTCAGTTTTGTTTTTGTATGTGGGTGGGTATTCTGTTTGTAATAATTGTTTGGATACACTATATTATTAATATTATAGTTGTGATAATTTCATGCAAAGTAAAAAATGTCCATAGTCATATTTTATGTTCCTAAAGCAACATAATGACTTTCAATCTGGAAAAGAAAAAAGAAGTGCTAATGTAGCATTTTTTTCAATTTTTCCAAAAAATTCCATTTCCCCCCCCAAAAACCATTTTTTTCCCCGCTAGCTTCAAAATTTCCGGAAATGTTTACATCTCTACCTAGGATTACAACCTGTGTTCCCTCTAAGATGAGTGTGAGCCAGCTCACAGTTCTTTAGCCTCCAGCTCACATTTTTGTCTCAGCTCTGGAAGGATGGGAAGGAAGAACTAATTCACGCAATAGCCAAATCGCTGGCTCACAACTTTAATGCCAGTAGCTCACAAAGTAGAAGTTTTGCTCACAAGACTCCATGGCTTAGACCGGAAGGTCGGTAGCTCAGCAGCTCGAGATCCGAGTGCCGCATGACGGAGTGAGCTCCCGTCTCTGGCCCCAGCTCCTGGCAACCTAGCAGTTCAAAAGCAAGAAATTGCAAGGAGATAAATAGGTGCCACTTCGGTGGGAAGGTAACAGTGTTCCGTGTGCCTCGGCGTCTATTCATGCCGGCCACACGACCACGGAGAAGTCTTCGGACAGCGCTGGCTCTTCGGCTTGGAAACGGAGATGAGCACCGCATCCCTAGAGTCAGATCCGACTGGCTTTCAAGCAAGGGAAACCTTTACCTTTACTAGCACCTTAAGGACCAACAAAATTTGTGGCAGGGGAGAAGCTTTTGTGAGTCACTGAAAAGGAAAGCGGTGACTGACGAAAGCTCATATGCTACCACAAGTTTTGTCAAGTCTTTAAGGTGCTGCTGGACTTTCTGTGGAATTATGGGGCCTTTTAGAGATACTTTTGCAGAAAAGCAAACCAGAGAGTGGAACAGCAGCCCGTGATCCACATGCAAACAAGGAGCAAATATATCTCAGGGCCCTAGAAAACAATCATGTCTTGCGCTGTTTGTTATGAGAAAGATCTCACATGTTTAGTCAACATGGTAGCTATGGGTAATGTCAACCTGTATAGCTACAGTTACACAAATGGGCTTTTCTTGTACTAGAAACCAAAACAGAAGGCCAGGGAGGGCCTTGAAGACAAACAGCACTTGTTGTATCGTCAGCTGTTGTTCTGCTTTTGTGTCGATCGCTTGCTGTTTGGTTATAAAAAGTTGCTGACCTCAAGCTCCAGCAGTGCTCTTTCCCCTCACTGTTTCAGGAGAGTAGTTATTCAGAGGCGAGTACTTATCGATTCAATGGATCACCAAGCGTGTGAGAAATTCACTGAGATGTCTTTAATGGGAATGCCAGCTTCTCCAAACAATGGGGCTCAAACCTGAAGAGAGGCGTGCACACCTCTCTTGCTTACCCAGCATATACACCTGTGCCCATTCATAGGCAAAGCACAGGAGACATTCTCTCATATTTCTACCACCTGGAAGTGGATTTCGTTCATACCCTGCCTTTCTCTGCAACAGGAACCTGAAGCAGCGTACATTTTTCTCCTCTCCTCCCTTTTAGCCTCACAACAACCTTGCAAGGTAGGTGGGACTGAAGAGGGTGGGACTGGCCCAAGGCCTCCCAGCGGGCTTTGATGGCGGGCCAGACTTAAACCTGCGTGGATCAGCAGAGCAGGAAACCCTCTGTGTCAGGTACCTGACATGCAAAAAAGGCACACTGTTGGCATCTTCCATGAAGATCTTGCTTAACTGTTAGATTGAAATTACTGAGCACTTTATTGATTGATATGTGATTGATTTATCCTGTTTTTATATGTCGGCACATGGTGCCCTGTTGTGAGCCGCCCTGAGCCCGCTCGCGGGGAGGGCGGGGTAGAAGTGCAATAATAAATAAAATAAATAAATAAATCGATGGTGCAACCTCATTTGGAGTACTGTGTACAGTTCTGGTCACCACACCTCAGAAAGGATATTATAGCATTGGGGAAAGTGCAGAAAAGGGCAACTCGAATTATAAAAGGGTTGGAACACTTTCCCTATGTGGAAAGGTTGGGACTCCTTAGCGCTTGGGACTCCTTAGCCTGGAGAAACGACGGCTGAGGGGTGACATGATCGAGGTTTCCAAGATTTTGCATGGGATAGAGCAGGTGGAGAAAGAAGTCCTTTTCTCCCTTTCTCACGATACAAGAACTGGTGGCCACTCCATGAAATTTCTGAGCAGCCAGGTTAGAACAGATAAAAGAAAGTACTTCTTCACCCAAACAGGGATTAACACATGGAATTCACTGCCGCAGGAGGTGGTGGCGGCGGCTACAAGCATGGATGGCTTCAAAAGGGAATTAGATAAGTATATGGAGCAGAGGTCCATCAGTGGCTATTAGCTACAAGGTATAGATAGGAACTCTCAATTTGGGGCAAGTGATGCTCTGTCTCCTTGGTGCTTGGGGGGGGCAACAGTGGGAGGGTTTTGGCGTTCTGGCCCCACTGCTGGACCTCCTTATGGCCCCTGGTATTTGTGACCATTGTGTGACAGAGTGTTGGACTGGATGGGCCACTGGCCTGATCCAACATTGGCTTCTCTTATGTTCTTATGAGGCTTCTGTGCTCAACTGTGTAAGCGGAGCAGAGGACCGACTTTTTAAAAGCCAGGGGCATGGCTATTAAAGCGACACCAACAAGTCTTGGAAACGGGGCTGTGCGACAGCTGTCTTTTCCTCTCCCGGCCAAGAGGCCACTTGCAGAGATAAAGACGGCCATCAGTGGACCAGCCCGGACTATTTTCGCCGCACATCAGCTGAAAGAATGCGCGGTTCTCTACGGAAGCCAAAATAGGTAGCCAGGCAGGAATGAAGCAGGGGACGGAGCTGGCTGCTATCGAGGATTTCCCAAGGCCACTCGGGAGGGTTAGGGGCTCTGTCTACATATTTCTACCCCACCCTTCTGAGGAGTTCAAGGCAGCCCGCCTGATCGTGCCTCCTCCACTGCCTCTTCCCAACAGCCCTGCGAGGTAGGCGAAGCCAAGAAATTGGACTGGCCCAAGGTCACCCACCAAGCAACGTAGATGGCTCTCCCAGGCCCCGATTGCAAACTCTAACCCCTACAACCTGTAGGGAGAACATTTAGATTCATAGTTGGTTTGGGTTTAAAATGAAGACCACGGCATTTATATATTAAATATAGCTCTCTGTGTCTGTATTAGCAAGCAGCTTTCAAAACACAAGGCAAGACTCCCAAAATGCAATGCCCGTCTCTTTGTTTCAAAAGGCACCTTTCCCCCGTCACGAACCCACATTCTTTCCCCACAGTTTAAAGCTCTACAGCAATTTCACACCCACACTGCCTCTTATCTCACACTGCGAACACAAAAGAACGTTCTGATTCCCTGGTTGTCATTTAGAATCCGAAGTGCTGTCTTGTGTTATTTTGAAAATAAAATATAAATCCTGGAATGTGAGGATGTCTCCTGCGCAAAAAGGTCTCACAGTTTAAAAAAACAACAACACCTGTCATCAACATTTGTAACAGCTCGTGCAAAAAAATCTTTGATTAGTTGCTGTAGATTTTCCGGGTTGTGTGGCCGTGGTCTTGCCATTGTAGAACCTGATGTTTTGCCAGTAGCTGTGACTGGCACCCTCAGAGATGTAACACAGGTCAACCTGAAAAATCAGCAGGGGCTGAACATGGCCTAACTCAAACAGGACACAGTATTTTGTTCCAAGACACTGAAAGGCTGGACAACACTCCCAATTCCCATGTCAGATTACACAGGGAAGCCATTGGAATTCATAAACATAAACACCATTTCAACAGGAAAGAAGAGAGTTTAAAAATAAATAGGGTATGGTTTCCTGTCCTGAAAAAAACAAAAGGCTCCACATCTGACAACAGCACTACAGATAAGAATTTCAACAGCCAATCCACATGCAAAAGAACCTCCTCAGGAAGCATAAGAACATAAGAGACGCCAATGTTGGATCAGGCCAAAGGCCCACCCAGTCCAACACTCTGTGTCACACAATGGCCAGAAATACCAGGGGCCATCAGGAGGTCCACCAGTGGGGCCAGGACATTAGAAGCCCTCCCACTGTTGACCCCCCCCAAGCACCAAGATGACAGAGCATCACTTGCCCCAGAGCCCCTATCTATACCTTGTGGCTAATAGCCACTGATGGACCTCTGCTCCAGATGCTTATCTAATTCCCTCTCGAAGCTGTCCATGCTTGTAGCCGCCACCACTTCCTGTGGCAGTGAATTCCAAGTGTTAATCACTCTTTGGGTGAAGAAGGACTTCCTTTTATCTGTTCTAACCCGACTGCTATGCAGTTTCATGGAGTGCCCACGAGTTCTTGTATTGTGAGAAAGGGAGAAAAGTACCTCTTTCCATACCTGCTCTATCCCATGCATCATCTTGTAAACCTCGATCAGGAAACAATCCATATACAAAAGAGCCTCCTCAGGAAAGCTCCTCCATTAGCATGTTCACAGCCTGGGGGACTCCTACAAGATAATGACTCAGCCCTACCCCACCTTCCTGAGTAGAGATAAATTACCTGCCTACCATTTTTTCTTCACACCTTGACACAGAGAGCACTCCGCCTTTCTGTGTTATACCTCTGGGGATGCCAGTCACAGCTGCTGGGGAAACGTCAGGTTCTACAGTGCCAAGACCACGGCCACACAACCCGGAAAATCTACAGCAACTAATGAACTCCGGCCGTGAAAGCCTTCGACAACAAATCTTTGATTAATTCTGTATAAATTGGAGTCCTCTTGGGCAGTTCGGGACTGGCTTTTGGGATTCAGGAGGCTTTTTCTCTCTCCTGGAGAACAAGGGTCAGTCTAGGAGCTCCTGCGCGCATGCTTTGTAGGAGAAATCTTTGTTTATTTGCTTGCTTATTATCTCATTAGGAAATAAGACTTGTATTGTTTAAAGTTCTGGCAAAGCGCCTCGCTGGCGTCTTGCCTGGAGAGCGCGGATACTTGATACAGGTTTAATAAAGTTAAGTTTTGTTTTTCTTTAAAACAATTTTGTAGTGGTCTTTAACGAGTCTTAAAAGGTTTCACTCATTCATTCTGCCTTCGGTGGGGAGGCATCGCCTGGCCCATACAAACAAGGGGAGTGGTGGCTTGCTCACACACAGAGACGTGTAAACACATTCTCCCAACACAACTGTGCTCAGTAGTAACACCCTTGCTTCGCGCGTAGCGAGCCCCGAGTTCCAGTCCCCTCCAGCGTCTCCGAATAAGAGTACAGACATGCAGCCTCCTTAAACAAATTTTTTTCCTTTAATTTGGACATCCATGACTCTGGAAAACCCGCAGAACCCTTTTCTGCACGTCGTCTATAAATACTCTCGTATATTCTCATTTACAAGTTAAGCTTTATAAAAACCATTTCCGCCCCCCCCTTCCGCGTCCAAAGGTCCCCCACCTCATAAGCAACACTGAGCTGTAACGAGACCCGGCTTGTTAAGAGTCCACCGCGAGCCCAACCAAATCACAGCTCTTCCTTCTGACACAGAGCAAAAATTTATAACGGTGGGGTGGGGGGAGAGAAGAGGAAAAGAGCCACAAAGCGGGCCACGAAGAAAAAAGGTTCCTGTTCTTAAAAGCCCAAGGGACCCTTCGAACTCTTTCTCTTTTTTTAAACAGATGCTCTGCCAACACCCACTTCTTTTTAAAGCCAGAAGGCCTTGGGGAGGATCATCGGATTGGGGTCCGACCCCAAGAACTCCGCAGACATCGCACCAACAGAAAAATGGTCGAGACGAGGCTAATTCCGCTCGCGAAAATCTAATTCTGCTCGTGAGAGGCCAAAGTTTTCTACAAGCAAAGGGAAGAGAGCTAAGTCGATGGCAACAGACGGTGCCCTTCGTGGTCTCCGCATCGATGCTTCCCCAAAACCCTTTGGAAGGGGTGGGTCACTGCTGGCCGTGAAGGTTTCGGAAACAAAACGTGGTTGGTTTTGAAAGGAACACGAGTGGTCTGACGGGAATCGATCTCTCGCTTCTGTGGCCGGGCTGGGATCCGGAGAGGCACGGGACACCTCCCCCCCCATGTCAACCTACGTGGTCCGTAACTTTTCGTCCACGGACAGACCTCTTCGAACTGCTTTAGCAAAAGTCTTAAGGGGTGTTCTGCCTTGCACCAGGGCGGGTGAGGAACTGCTCTTCTGGAAATACTTCTAAGGCCTCCCCCCAATTTGGAACTACCTGATGCATTCCCTGAAACCAGGGCCACCTTTTTAAGAGGGGGCTTTCTTTGCATGCCGCAAAGAGGAGACAGAAGGGGGCGAGTGCCGAGTCTCCACAAGGCAGTGCAGGCTAAGAAACCAAAGCTCTTTCGCCGGCTGAACCGTACGCCCCTCACCCCCTTGCCTTATGGGGTACGCTGGGGGTAAGGTAGACGGAAGACACCCCTTTACACCCACCTCCGGAGCCGATTCACATGACCCGGAGCGCCACTGAAGAAAAGCTTGCTTCCGCCCATGATAACTGCCGCTCATTCAACGGGTATCCCACCAAGGACACAACTAATCCCCCCCGACCAAGTCGTCCCCACGCCAGGTATGCCGAGCAAAAAAACCAAGGTTCTACGCAGAAGCAAGGTGAAGGTCACCACTCTGCTACCGTGACAGTGACCCGAGGCATCTTAGCTTGTCTGTATATCCAAGCTCTTCTGTAAAGGGCATGCGACGCCAGACCCCGTTATGGGGTCAGGCCTGGAAGGAGAGCGGACAGACCTCGGGTTGCCGCGCTGGCTGAGAAGACGTGGAAAGCGGGAAGGTGGGATCTGGTGTTAAACAGAGCCACGGAAGCATTCGGTTCGCCAAAGCAGATCTAAAGGGGCCACGTACGCTCTCCTGAGGGTCTGAGAAAACTCCCATCCGCTACAGCTTGAGGGGTTTTGGACAGTCTTCTCTGAAGGTACCGAACGTCACGTCGGATCCGTCCGCGATTCGCTCCCACGACTTGCGCTCTCTCTCCTATGCCTGTCTTGGAAACAGCAGGCGACAGGGATGGGACAATGAAATGTCGGCTTTCTTTACTTGCTACCTCGGTGGGTCCATGTTCGAGACCAGCCCCCC